TAGCCTGCTGACTGATTTGGCTTATAGAACAACTCCAGTGGGGCCACTGCCTTTCCTTACGCCAACAGGCGATTCTCCTTTGCTTTGCTTGCAGGGAGTCAGGCATTTTGGCCCACAAGTCCTTCTTCTTCCTCTGCTCCTCCTGTCCTTCATGAAAAGAGTCTCACTGAAGCGATGAGATAGCTCTTTTCCATGGCCCTGAAGTCAGTCAAAATAATTCCTACAGAGTTATGACCCCAGTTAAAATGCTTTCATGTCCTGGAGCCCCGGGGAGCTGTACGTGCTTTGGAGCAATGGACTGCACAGGGCCTGATTCATTCTCTTGGCTTCATATCTTTTTGTAGGAGAAGGAAAAGGCCTCGTTGGTGCACAAATAATTGAGCACTCTTATAGCTATGCTCTGTACTTATTGAGCAAAGACATCACAGGCAGCAACTGGGAAATTGTGAGCAGAAGCGTGTACTGGAAAGCAAAACCAAACCCCTGTACCCTCACCAGTGAAACTGCATGGAAAACCTGCGAAAAGATCACAAATTTTTATCACATGACTAATGAGGTCCAGAAAATTCTGGCACAGTTCTTAAAAAAAATGAAAGCATCTTTAAAATAAAGCTATTGTCAGTCTCAGATGTGATGTTATATTTAAACTGTAAAAAAATGTCTATGCTGTCATGAGCTACATAGAAGCAGGTCAATGAGTTGGCAAACACTGCTGCAGCCTTTGTTTATAAGCCATAGTCCTTGAGGAGAAGTGGAGCTGAGTCGACATAGCCATAGGAGACCGGACGGACCCCGGCAGCGAGCAGTGCAGAAAACAGGGACTCCTGCAGCACGTTTTGACAGGCACTTTCAGACACCCTTAGGACTAAATTTGTTGGCTGCCCACCATCCTCCGGCATAAGCAGTGGCATGCTCCAGGGCACAGGATGAGGCTGTCCAGGGTCAGGCAGGTGGGCTGGGAGTGGGTGGCTGTGCCCAGGGACACTGCTCCCATCCGCCTCCAGCCCTGTAACCTCAGTAGGCAGCGTGGGAGGTCAAGATCAGGGAGCACTCCTGAGGCCCCTCTGAAGAAGAGATGCGGAAGAAGATGAGCCTGCTAGTACACAGATATATGATATAAAATATTTTCAGTAAGGATAATCAAAACTTTACTTTTCCTACCTCATCTCTGCAGATCATAAGTTTTTTGTTACGTATCTGTTCAGCTCTCAGGATAGAAGCACCCATATCTCAGTTGGAGATGTCTTGACATCTTGACTCTTCTTGTAAGATCTTGTAAGTAAAAGCAATAGATCAATAAGAGTCTCTCTACTGACTTCAGAGATCACTGAGTGGGCTTTCTCTGTCAATACTGATTAGGGGTCTCTGCTCCTCAGACATTCACAGCTACTGCCATTGAAATGAATTGGCTGCAACATCACCATAAAATGATGCATATCGCTCTGCATCCTCCTCAGAAATAATTGCTTGATAGCTTTACAGTGAACTCCCTTGGAGAAGAAAATAGTAAAGACATGGTAAGTCATGGTAATACTCCTCTGCTGTTCTTTGATACTGCCTAGCTAACTCATGTCAGAGACACAAGTAAATGCAGGAGGAAGTAATGTCAGCAGAAAAGTTTCAAGTGGAATTTGCAATCACTAAATGAAGAAACTGGCTGGAATCTTTCTGTCTCAGCTTTTGTGCTTAACTTACACATGTTAAGTCAGTGTAAAGAAAATCAGAGAGTGCTTGCTCTGAATGCTCACACAGTCTTGGAGGAACTCTTGAATTCATGGAGAGGACTGTGGGGGAAGCGATGGTGGAAGGATTTGATTATTGAGCAGGATGAGATAAAGGGAAGGACTGAAATAAAACGTGGATCGGGAAAATCAGATCATCATGACAAGTACAAATGAGCTCTGAAAGAGTTTCTGAGTAGAGACTCTAAGAACCGTAACAAAGTTTGATATGTTTCGGGAACAAGATAATGAGATCAGGGAGTCAGTGCTAGCCTGGTCCCTACAGAGGATTGCGTGCTTCTGACATGCATACAAAGTTCTTTCTCACAATATAGCAGCTCAGGCTCTTGTCCCTTTGAATCTCCTAATCTAATCCATGTTACCCTGGGAACAGCTGGGTAGGAAAACCCAGCTGCTTTCTGAGGTGTTACTTGTGATTCAGCAAGTCGGTCAGTACTAAATCGATAACATGGCATTCATTTTGTGCGAGTTCTTCATTGAGGCTTTTCTAGATGAGTGGTGATGGGCTGAATTTGATGACTCCTAGTTCAGCTCCATGGTAGGAATCTGCACTTGGCCTGAAAGCTGAAAGCGATTGATATGATGACAATAAGCATGACAGCACTGAAGCAAGATGCCACAGACACCTTTTCCATGACTCAAGGAATATTTGACATGTAAACCATCTGCATGTGTAGAGGTACTCTGCAATCAGAGGCTGTTTCCCCTGAAAGGTCATCAAAAAGAGATAGAAATGAATCGTCATCATTATGAACTGGATTTCTGCCAGCCACTTAGTAATTAGAGTTTTAATTGTCCAGAAATAAAAGTTTTAATTACTCAGCATTAGTGTTTGAAGTTTCAAGTGCTTCGCATGCACTCAATCGCATTCTTGAATTGCCAAGACGGAATAGCTCCATTGTATCTCATCAAAGCTCTGAGCAAGATAGGTGAACACAAGTGATGGAGCAGCAGCAGAAAATGGGTATAGCCCCAGTTGTCAGTGGTCAGACAGGCAAACAGTCTCGCCGAGCAGAACCTGCAGGAAGCTTGTGACCTTTCCCAAACTCACCACCTCCTCGGCTGAGTCAGACAAGAGGCTCGGGTGGTAAAGGCACCATGCTAGGGAAAAGCTACTTCAACACCTGTCTTATTTTACTTGGTGCATTCGTTCCTTCAAGCTTTTAGTGACACATCTTGCAAGTACTGTTGGGTTATTTAAACAAGTTTTAATCTAAACTCACATGGATTCATTAGGAAGAACCTAGCTCTGCAGACATCTTACCAAAATGCCTGAAATCCATCCCTACAGTATGTGTTTACAGTTAGTAGTATCCAGCTGCAATACATTTATTGCAATTTAACAAACTATTTTACCTATATTATATTATATTCCCTAGCTAATTCAAGGCCAAAATACCCTTTGCTGTGTCAAGCATGAATTATTTCATGCCTAGTATTACCCCAATTAATTTTCCTTATGCTAGATAGTAAAGGTCCTAATTAACACAACCTCTGAGGGCCTGGTTTCTTTCTCCTTGCATTACTAGAACTTAAATATCACTAGCAACTCAAACTTTAACAAAGTCAACAGTTGGCACCAGCCCAGGAAACAGGACTGCATTTAGGCTATGGAGTCTAAAAGGAAATGCGTATTTGTGATCTGCTTGGGTAGTCAAAGACGCAAATTGTCTGAGGAACCATGTAATCAGGGAGCAGGCACAACTTTTCCATGAAATAATTATAGTTACTCTGGTTTATTTTGCATGTCCAGCAGAGAGAGCTTTAAATGACGTTCAGATTTTCTACAGGCAGAATGCAAAATCCATCCCAAGAACTTTGGAAAAACAAGACAAAATTCATCTAGTAAAGATATTTCATGGGAAAAAATCTGATAGAGAGAGAGAGTGGGATGAAACTTTTCAGGAATTCGAAGCAAGCTGCATGTTCTATTAAATGTTACTTATAATTGTAAAACTCTACATTTTTAGGGGGGAATCATAATGCCTCTCAGAAGGCGTTTTTTTTTTTCTCCTTTTTTAAACTGTTTTCCAAATTTATCTACTGATAAACAACAGTTAAAGTGGAGAAATGAAGTTTATGAGGAAATGCACTGACAGTCACATAAGCACAACTTTAAAAAAAACCAGAATATTTTAATTAAAATATTTAATTAATCAATATTTTAGTAATATTATAAATTAATAAATTAAAATTATAAATTAATATTTTATTAAAAAATATTAGACTATTCCTGAATATTAGAAAAAACCACAACAAATCCAAACTGTAGTTACTCAAACATCAACATCTAAATCATATACACATAACATTAAACAAAATAGGATTTTTCCCCTGTACTCTGAGACGAACTTACTCCTTTTAATAGCACCTAGTTACCTGGTTAGTAACCTAGTCAGTAATTCAAAGCATTTAGACGGTCTATAATGTAGCATTAGGTGTTTTTTATACTCTGGACTATACAGTTCATTGATTCCACAAAGGCTCCATCTCACTGGGGTGCTGAGTTCAGGGGCTACACATATGTTTTCTGTCTCATTTACCTGAGACAATATCTGTAGTACACTTCACAGTGATGAATAAATACCTGATCATAGTAAAACTTGTTGTTTCTAGCTGTAACACTGTGAAGTATTAAAGTCACAATGAATTGAATGTAGCTGTCTCATCTAAGCTGGTAACAGACTCAATGAATAGACACAGGCATCTCCAAACTGTGAGTCATGCCTTCCAGACATGTATGTCCTGGACAGATGAGGTGATCTACTCTCTGGAAGAGCTGTTTCTATCAACTGAGGAGAGATCAACTTTTAGACAGCTGAAACCAGGAGGAATGTACAATCCTAGCAGTGTGTCAGTAGGAGAATGGCCTGAAGAAAGTAGGCTTTGTTGAAGGCCAGTATTGATTTCCCCTTGCAGAGCCAGGAGAAGAACATGCATTTCAGGTATTGTTGATGTTGCAGTTATCATTATTATTCCCTTCACCGTGGCTTCACCTTAGAGTCCCAGGCTTGGACTATGAACCACTCTGTGTTAGCCACTGTATAGATACAGGACAAAAACCAGCTAAGCTCCATCCCTAGTAGATTATAGTCAAAGCAGTCCACGCCGCCCATTTTATTTACAGTGAAAAGTCATACTGTACGGTAAGTGTTTGCAACAGGCAGTTCTTTGGTTAAATCTACTGTTGAAAAGTGCTTCCTCTTTTCAGTGTTTATCATCCTATGGAACCTCTCATTTCCCATTATTATTTTCCAGCTATGCTTTTCCCATCTGCTCAGCGATTGAAGAGATCCTCAGCTGCCTTCCTTAACCCAGTGCTACAAAACTCGCTGGAAGATGTGGTCCTGCTTTATGAGGTTCAGTATATGGGAACAGATGGTACCTTAAGCCCTAACCAAGACTGGGGTTACTGTCCATACTGGGGTTATCTGTTTTCTGTCTTCATGTCATTTTTACTCATCCCAGCAGTAAACCCATTGCTGACTATGTAATAGCTCACCAGAAAGGAGAGAACAGACATACATAGAACAAACTCAGTTCTTTCAGCACTTAAGCAGGTAGCAGTTGCCTGCAGCATCTCAAATGTGAGTTCTAGCTCAATGGCAGGCAAAGTGAAAACCAGAACAAATGGCTTTCCACTGAAAGCAGCTTTCTTGCAGAACAGTTATGTATTAACAACACAATGCATTTAAATTCTTTGGTCTAAGTCTTAGTCTCAAATTATTTGTTCAAATCATTAAAGCCACAAGTATCAGTCATTGCAAAGTAATCCTAAGGGCACGACTGTTTCACTTCAAAATGATTCAGATCCCCTCTTTCGCAGCAATGGAGACTGCAGGTGTAATGCATAGTCTGGAACATTGTCATATGCTTAGCTGAGGGAAAGTGGCCCACCTGAAGAACGTGCATGGGTCAAGTCTATCTATCCCACACCTTGGGAAACTGAAATTGGGTGTTCAAATGGGGTAAATGGGCTGGGAAGCCACTGCTATGGTCTCTCATACAGGGCTAGGCCACCACTGCTAACCCTGGCAGGGTAAATGATCTTTCCCAGCTGTGCTGTTGTCTCCACTTCTCTAATCTCCATGTGGCACCAGCAGTAACCCATGCCTATTTTGGACAACAAAAGAAGACTACCTGCTTTTTCCTTTTCCTCTCTCCTTTCCCCATAGCCTGTCTCTAATTTTCCCAGGTAGGCAACGCAGGAGTCCAACATTTACATAGAGACTTTCTGGTCTGCCCCACCTCCAGCCAGTGCAATGAGAGTTTTGTCTCCCTTTGATCTAAAGTAAAGACCTAAGGACATATAGTTAATTCACATTTACTCTGCCTAGAGTCTCTTGGAGAAGCTAAATAGCTTTCTGTGTTCTGGTTTTGTATCAGTTTCTTTTAGCTGAGCTTGACATTGACAAAAGTCAGCGGATCTCCATCAAAGACGAGGAGCTAGCTTCACTGAGGAAGGCTGCTGAGTTTGACACCATCTGCAATGAGATTATTCCCAAGAGCATCACAGAGATCCGCAGGCTGAGTAGCAGGCTGTCTTCCTATCCACGAGTCCTCAAGAAAGAAGACTTTGAAAGGACAGTGCTGACCATGGTCTACACCGCCTACAGGGCTGCTCAGTCCCAGGGGCATCAGAAAGACACTTGGGCTGAATCCTTCGTCAATCTTTACAAAGCCCTGAAGCATGACTTGATGTTCCCATATAACAAAGAGCCATCATAGTAGGAGACGACGCAATGCCAAATCAGTCAACTTTTCTGCTTGATAAAGAGTTTAATAGGCTGCTTCATGAAAGATTATTGGTTTTCTAGCTCCCTCTTGTGGAATCCACTTTATAGTTCCATGTTAAATGGGGAAAAATGTTATCTTCAGTCCTGGGAATTCTGCTTTTGTGGTGGCGTGGAGGCGCATTCTGTGACAGGCAAAGAAGGGAGTCTGGTGTACACCCCAGACAGATATGCCCTTGTCTCGTCCTGTGGGTTTCCTCTGAACAATACAGAAGTACACTATGCTTATGCTCGCATACCTATGTGTACGTGCTGGAGAACGCTGCTTTCCTAGTTGGGAAAACAAGTTCATATTTCGGCCGGCCAATAAAATAATATTATAAAGAGATGCAAAAGCCCTCTGTAAAACAAAGAGGATTCATAACTGTCAGCCTTCAGAAATTATGTCAAATATATTCATTTCAAATATTCCTGTAAATAAGCACTGTCTGATTCCCTTCATTTGGCTGAGCCAATTTTTAACCGCAATAACATTTGCAGAAGACAAAGGGCATTGTGAACACCAGCAGCAAACAATGCCTGTGAACATATTCCCTGCTTCCCAGAGCTGCCCTCCCAAACAGTCTGCAATGATTCTTTCATTATTTGCACACGACTTTGCTTCTGCTCCTTGTTTTTTTTAAGGGAACAGGGATTTCTCCTCAGCGGAGTCAAAGGCAAGACAAAGGCCCTGTTTAATTTAATGATGACACATTTTTCCTGGGTCTATCACTTGAACGGAGGTCATCTAAACCCATGCTTCAGAGTCCCCCTGAGGCAAGGGAGGAAGGTGCATTAAAACATACCTGGTGCTGAATTCAGCAGTGTGGTTCATTTTTGGTGGTAAATTATGTATTCATTTGTGTATATGTATGTGTATGTTCATGCATGTGTGTGCATGTAAGTGCTGAGTACACGGAAGAACCCCAAGTTGTTCAGTCAGGGAACAATTGCATCCGACCATTTAGCAGAAAAGTCCCCTCACCAAACTAGTTGTGGGAATTACGACTTTGGGAGCAGTGGAAAAGCAGTACTTGTTTACAGCACAAATTCTTTGTAGAAATAGTGCAACTGATTATTATAAACTGCAAAAAAATCATGGACAGAAAATGGACAGAAAAAGGAGATATATCTTGTCAGATAGATGACTAGCAATGAAAAATCCAAACATTTCTAAAGCAAATTGCCTAATTTTTGTGAACAAGTTATATGAGCTCTGCGTCTCTATTGATAATAGAGGTGCTTCTACTTCCAGAGCATGGCAAAACAGCTGAACATTTATGTCATCCTTTCTTACCAGCACTCTCTATCTCTCTATTTGCATAATATCTTAAGGAGACAGGCCCGATCACAAATCCCTGAGGCTGTAAAAGAGAACTGGGGACTTCAAGCCTGATTCTGAATCATGTTTTCCTGCTTCTGCATCACTTGTGTGAAAGGAATAAACTCTTCTGTGTCCCTTAACAGGGATGCTCCAAGGACTGGAGCTGAACAAATCCATCCAGCACCACCTTGTTGCAGCAAACAGCAAATAATGCCAGCAGTTGGAGCACACTGGTTTGGCAATCACTCGTGGGAATGTGGATCCACAGCAGCTTAGGGGCAGGCTGGCAGCTGGACAAAGCTGGCTGGTATATGGCAAGGGAAACTGAAAACTTCAGCCACAAAACTATGGGACACAAGTATCTCTGTCTCCTCTACTTGCACACACAGCTCAGCACCTGCAAAGCAGCCTTATATTACAGTCCACATGCCCTTTAAGCCTTCAGTGTAAACACTGATGACCCATTTGTGTTTTCTTCCCACAATGTGCTTTACAAACATATGGTGGGCAAATGCTATTAAGGGAGCTCCTGATTTTCCAGATCTGTTTCTTCTTGACTCCCTGAAGCATCACTTGCCAAAAGAGCCTGGAACCAGGACAACTCATCAATCTCATACAGTCAGTGACACCAGGTTTGCAAAGAAAACAAGAAAGATCACTACAGCAAGTATTCATTAGTAGCAGTCACCATCCAGAGAAATACCTCCCAGCCACTCTCCTCACCCCACAACAGGACTGTCCAGCAGTCAGAGTTTGCTCATCAGTAAGTATCCCATGGAAAAGAATTGCAAATAGTTCTGAATATCCAATCATTCCCTATGCCGTACATACCTTCCTGTAGCTTACAAATTGGCAATTGAAACCTCTGCCTCCCCAACAGACAATAAAGTCTTTCTGAGTTTCTTTCCCTCCTCCCATTACTGTGTGTAGTGTAGGAAAAGAGATTTATTCCTTGGGAATGTGCTTGGACTTCCCAGGTTAATTTAACAGAGACTGTCAAAGTAATAATAAAAATATTCTACATAAAACTAATTGGTTTTGCAGTGTATTGATTTCAGCAGCAGATTTACTATTTAGCAACTTGCAGCATGGGTAACAATACACAAGAAAAGGGGGAACAGCCTTTCCTTCTGACGGGCAGGAGGAGGTAATAAATAGGATCAAGAGTGCCATCTTTTTCCAGAATTCACATGGGAAGGAGCACTCTGCCTCAAGGCAGTTCTTTGGGTTTAGGGCAGATTCCCTCCTTCAGTATTGCTTAAGATGCAGGCGTAGGTTGCCTGCTCCTAAAGGAGGAAGAGAGGAAAGACACAGTTTGCATCTCGTTACTTCAGACTGAATCATATTTATAGAAAGCCCTTCTCTCAAGGGGTAAAGAGCCATTACCTCTAAATGGCACCTTTTATCCACCCTTTGACCTTATAGATTATAAAAAAATGATGGATTTTTTTTTCATGTAAAATAAAACATTTAAAACATTTTTTAGTATTTTAGATATTCTTTTTAGTTTCTCTGAAACAACTGGCAAAGCAGATACAGACATAATTTCACTGGCTGTATTGGCCAATCCGAAATCTTCACATTAACTATATTTTCACTTTCAGAATTAATTGCTAAACTTGCCTGAAGAGTCTCAAGGTGCTGTTGTTTGATGGAAGTTTCAAGATATAGAAACGTTACACAGTCTTAGCTACATTTACCAATTCCAGGAAGAATTCATGCTGCACATCAAATTCCTCTGCCCTTCTACCTTTGCAAGTTCTCCAGGACTCAGTGCCACAGAAGCATCCCAGTTTAGTCTGGGAGCTCAGTTTGCGTCTGACTAGCAGAGTGTGGGGAGATGACAGACAAGTAAGGTTTGGGAGGATGGAAAATCCTACATGTGTGGCTTCTGGTGAGATATAGGGCAAATGGATGTCTGTCTGCTGGTTGTGCATGCAACCAGACAATGGATTCAGTCCTAAATCTCCAGTACTTTCTGCTCCACAAAGAGCATTAATAATGACAGAGTTGTAGAAATTTTTCTCCCCTAAAAGACTGGAGTAGAAAGCCTAAAAATTCGCAATTTGAGTCTGAATCCTACTGTTACTGAAGGCTCATGAATCAATAGAGACCAGCCAGTACCTTATCAATAAGTGACATTCATGGATCAGGATGGAAGAAACATGAAAGACAAAAGATACTGTTTAGAAAACAATGATTATTTATTTATCATCAGTACTAGGGCCTTGAAACAATAACAAACTGTTCAGCAACTTTTAAAAGCTCTTTCTGTATGTTTGTGTGCATGTCAGAAAGAGAAGGCTGTTGATTTTCTCAAATGTTCTGACTGGGTTTTGGATAATGGGTGGAGCAACTACTATGTTCTACAGTCCTAATTGGTGAATTAGAGTTGCCTGAAGCTTTTTAACAAGTTTTTATCTTGAGATCAAGTATAATCTGTGTTGGAATTGCTGCCCTGTGAAGTCCAAGCTCAGGGCAAAGTAGGGTAAAGGTAGATACAAAGCGGAAGCCAAATATATAGTAAAGAGACAAAATCTGGAGAAGCTGCAGATGGTTTAATTTTTTCTTTCTTTTTACTTTTTTTTTTTTTTTTAAGAAGGAATACCTTCAGGTTTGCTTTTGCACACTGAACAATAAATTGTTGGTTTCAATAATTTTCCAGCAGAAAAGAAACTTGTATTTGAGACATTCAGACTATAAAACAGAAGGAAAAGCAGCAGCCCGAAACACATCTCATCTGGTTTATGAAAAAAGGAATTACGTTGCTGAATGATGGAAGAAAACTTTCCAAAGCATAAGGATAAAGATGCAACACAGCTACACCTGTGATTCTGAATTAAAAAGAAAAATTGTCAAAAGATCACTATGCTCCAGCTTGCAAACTTCTGCATGTTGTGGTGTGATAATAATTTGGATGTGCTGGTGAGCCCTACATAAACTGAATGGCTTTTTAATAGAAAAATATTTTCAAAACAACAGATTGAAGAATAAATAAATTAAGAAAGCTATTTTAGGTGGGTGGAGATAAGAAATGAGGCAGTGAGAGACCTTTCAGAGAAACCTAGGCACAGGTGAAGGAAAACGTGGAGTGGAAGTTGGAGTATTGGAGGAACCTGGAGAAGAAAGCCACCAGAAAGTAAGAGAGTATGGCAATGACGAAGGAGATTCTCCGATCCAGAAATCTCTTGCTCGTTGTTCTCATTCCACTTTTGTTGCTTCCCCTGCCACTCTTATATCCCAGCAGTGTAAGTACATTTTCATTTTCTTTTTAACAAAGCCTCTGAGTGTGGTAGGTAGTTGTGCTGGTTAAGTCTGTGGTGTGCTAAAAGAAAGGGAAAGACCTAAATAAGAATAGCTCTTAGAAAAATCAAGAACTCAAATTTGAAGGACTGGGAAGTCATCACAGTAAGAACTAAAGCTACCTTGAGTCATGCCGTAAGCAGAGCTGAAGAACCAGGTGAAGCCAGTAAAACATTACTTTAATGCAGAAATATTGTCTCCCTTCTTTTTCTACTATAATACGTGTGTGGAAGGGGGAACAGAACAAACATATCTATAAAACTTTTTTAAGGAGAGGTCTTTAAAAGGAATACTTTTAGTGTCTTTAGTTCTTAATAATAAGTATGCATGGAGGGAGTTTCAATTTAGCATGGGTTTATAGGATGGCAATTCTAATG